TCCCATTTACTTAGTACATTTTTGAGATATAGCAACACCGGTGATGATCACCAGTGGTGATAAATAGCAAAATTCTTGTTTAAAATATATATTTTTTTACGTATTTATGAATATAATCAATCATATTTGTATTTACATTAGCGATAGCGTATTTAAACGTTTGTTTAAAATTTTTTTTTTAAGACATTTCTCTAAAATATATTGTACATTGAATATTAACGTTCTTTCATTCGTTTCTTAAACCGTTCGTTCATATTCAAAGGACGCCGGCTCTAGGGCTTTGTCCTAACAAATCATTTTTCTTTGAGGTTTATTGCCATAGATGTGAACTTGAAGATGTGGCCAATTACTTTGAGCAGTACACTAACGGCTCAGCAATTGGTTTGAACCTTTTTTCCCCTAAATCTTTTTTTTTTTTTCTTTGAATAAATCCTTTCTCACGACATCAAAATATTTAAATAATGAATTTCATTCTTTATACTTATCCACCGTGCGCATTTTCTTTTCATGAATTTATTGTCATTGATATGAAACTTAAAAGCCTGTACTAGTAGTTGCAAGAAATTATGCGACTAGTGCAATGCACATTTCATGCTTAATTTGGGTATTTCTGAAAGATCAGTTGTTCTATCGCTGCTTTCTTATTTTGCTTAATTATTGTCAGTGCAATAAGATTATGTATATTACATAAGGGATGAGAGCTTAGAGGTTAAAGAATTTTATTTAACGATGAAATTGAAGCCTTTTAACATATAATCAAGTCAAATCGGAATATCAGATACAATGTCTACAAGTCGATTTTTGAAATATTCAAAACTTAGGTAATAACATTTATTCAAAATTATGTAGTAATATGTATATTTATTTTTTTAAATTGGTTTGTATATTTATATGTATAAATTTTAGTGAGATTCCCGATGATAAAATTGTTTGATTTACTTATAATTAAATTTGGCGTATCTGGAACTGGAGTATCCGCGAAAAAACTTAGGTAACTAATGTTAACAAAAAATTTGAGCAAAAAATTTTTCTTAGAATGAACCCTTAGTGATCAAGTGTGATAAATTGTCACGTGAACGCCAAATACTGTGATCGTAAATATACTGGTACGTGTTTTTTAGCTTTAACCTGCCTTCTTTCATTTCAGAAATCAGTGGATATGTAAATCATAACTTGCTTTTCTAAAATCCATACCTCTTCACCCTCTTCACTCTATGTTACAAGTTATCTTAGAAAAACTTCAGTTCCCAGACTATTGGAGGAAATCATACCATGAATGGGGCTTGGAAAGTTGGTCCAGTTTCTTTCATGAAACAAAACATGACAAATCATTGCAAGTGTGTCGCGCCTCTCTAGTTGCAGAACTTAAAACTTTAACAGAAAATTTAGCACCTGGAATGTGTGAAGCGAAGAAAGCTCTAGCTTTAAGAAACTTAGAGGTTAGTATTTCACTAATGAAAAGTAGTGAAGTGTGCTACACTGTGTTCTGCTGGTATAGGGAAGAAGAGCGTCCAGCCGTTGTGGTGCCCTTTGTAAAAAAGGATATTGGATCTTTGTTTAATTTTTTGTCAATATTATTCAAAAAATGTTTGAAATAGAGTTGCTATAAATATAGTCTTTGTTTAATAAATGCAGCAAAAGCGTCTGTTTTACTTAATCAGCACAGGCTTAGGAATCACTAGCGAGTCATAGTTTTTGTTGAAAACTTTTCTGAAGCACACCAGCAAGTCATAATTTTTGTCAATTTTATTCAAAAAATTTTCAGAAGCACACTAGCGAATCATAATTATTGTTTCTAAAAATTTTTGGAATAGCATTAGTGAGTTGTAATTTTTTCGGAATGGAGTCACTATAGGTAACAAAAGCTAAACAAAGATCCAACAAACTTTTTTATAAGCTTTGTATCATTTCCTCTGCGACGTGCAAATCTTTGCTATAGGAAATTTATTGATTATATGTCCTGCTAATTATAAAAAAGAAATCAGCTATGTATCTTCTTATATTGGGAATATCTTACTCATAAATTCTTTTGGTCTATAGAAATCAGAAAAAGAGAACAAAGATCCAAAATAAAAAATAAAAATCTGTATACCAATTCCTAAAAAGATTAAATTGTTTAGTAAATTAAGAGTACCTGTTTGGAACAGATGAGTTGAAAATTTAATGTAATTTTATTTCTTCAGAGCATTTCTCTGAGGGTATAGAGGCCAATGAAAAGTTTAATTTTTATGTTTCTTCTGAACATACAATCATGAATATATCTTCACTTAAAATTTAAAAAAAGTTTGGCGCAGCTCTTTTTGATAAACATTTTAAATTTTTAAATCTTTGAGTGAAAATATCACGACACCCACCAAGCCAAATTCAATGAATATTTTTTTATTTGAATTTTACAGATTCATGGAATTTAAATAAAAAAAGTTCATTGAATTTGGCTTGGTAGGTGTTGAAATATCTTTGCTCAAAAGTTAACAACAGTTTGGTGTAGCTCTTATTTTGATAGACGGTTTGGATTTTTTAAATCTTTGAAGCTATCTCCACACTCTGTTTCACTACACTCTAGGTATTTTTTCTAATAAAATTTTTAATATTAGATTTCAGAACTTTCACCAGGTTTTGGTTTTGGTTTCGCCAATTTTCAGGCTTTTGGGCAAAATAAATTTATCCAAAACACTAATTAGAACTGAGAATGGACTGGACCAAACCAATCAAACCTTATTGCCAAGATATCTTTGCTTAAAGAATAATTGGCACAACTTGTTTTTGTAAATATTTTGGGGGTTTAAAACTTTAAAAAAAGATATCTTAGTGAGGTGTGGCGACTTAGTGTAGTGGTTTAGTTGTCACTCTCTCCAAGTGGCAGGTCTAGAGTTCAAATTCCACGGATGACGAATTTTGAAAAATAGCCTGTGTTACAGTTTACGGTTGTCAATTATCGGTTGGATCTAGAAATCTGTAATCTCGGCCATACCATCTAGTTATGGGAGCTTTGGCGCAATAAATCCGAGGAACTGGAAACCTATTTGGCAAGTCCCGAGTTTGGAGGTAGTAGTGATCTATGATGGTACCACGGGAGGGCTGAATTCGAATCAGGGCCTGAGATCAGAGAACTGAGCAACCAGGTCCTAATGGCAGAGGACACACTAGCTGAACCGCTGGGTTGTCACACCGGAGGAAAAGGACATATGCTCCAAAAGTATGGACCAAGAAAGGGCGTCCTTCAGGCACCTAAAGCCTGGGCAGATCAATCCTTTCGGGTTGCCGGCTGGAAGTAAGAGAGAGACCAGTAAAGAATCTGAATAAGAAGACGGTTTAAATGTGGAGTACTGGGGTTGCTAGAAACCAAAACAAGGGCAAGGAGTATATAATGGGCGCCTAGTTAGGAAGGTTGGTGTTTGAGAAACATCCGTAGAACGGCAGCACCCCAAAAGGTGGCATGAGATACGAATACAGAACAGCTAGTCAATATGTACTAATTAGAAAAAAGTTATAGAAACAAGCACGTAAATACATGTGTAGGACATGTATCGCTGTGTTAGGTTTACCTCGAAGATAGTTAAGTGTCCTAAGGTAGGGTGCGAAATCCACATTGGGTAATACCAAAATCTAGCGTATAAATAGTGAGGAAACCCATGGGGTTAGAGGGCTGATGGAGGTAGTTAGAACCAAATGGTTTAAATGGGTACCCCCCTAGTTGGGGTGCAGGTACGGCAGATAGTGTAGAACCTT